TTTGAATAAAGCTAATACAGTTTATATTATAATCATCATCTTCATTTTACCTCTGTCCTCCACTCAACTCCGCCAAACTTTGCTTCCATATTCCGCCGAGACAAACTTTAACTTCTAATCCTTCGAGGAGGGATTTACCTTCTGAAGGTTGTAGTTTGGCAAAGCTACCGGGCAATAGATCACTGAAAATCGTGCCGAAATCTCTAAAAGGTTTAATTTTATTATTGGATTAATTGATTGATAATAGGGATTAGCTATCAAGTAAAAAATCTTTCTTACCTGTCAACCTTCTCCCAAGTTTTTTCTAGGGCATCTTTCTTATAATTATCAAGGGATACAATGGTATTCTCAATTTTTTTCTTATCTTTTTGAACAGTAGTCAACATTTGTTTCAAAGAAGTTTCCTTTTTTTCGACGCTAGTTTATAAGATGAAGTTCTGATTAAGTTGGGTCGATCGTACCTTTATATGAATTTATAGTATTTGTTATACTACCTCTCGATTATAAGCATAACTTTTTCATTAATCATCTTTCGCATGTTATTATGTTTTTCCTCCAGTTGTCTTAACATTTTTTTCCCATCATTTGGATTTTGTCGAATAAAGTCGTAGGGAGTGTTTGGTGCACCAAAAAGGCTGAATGATTGAGTTTAATGCACAAAAATAAAGATTAATTAAAATATTATCATGAATATTTACGAGACAAAAAACATTTACTGTTTTTGATCCAAAATCCATTCGTGTTCCGCTTCCATTCGTTGGACTGCTTGCTCGGCCACCTGCTTCTCTTTAAGGAATCTTTCAACTTCGTGACTGATTTTTGACATTTCAAGCTGTGTTTCTGTCATTTGAGAGGTTTTTGTCTTTTGAGCTGCTTGTAGCTCCTTGATTTCCTCATCAAATGCGGTCAATTTTTCTTGTTCTTTCTGTAATGCTGCTTGTACTTCATTTAAACATCCCTATTGTATCCGAGAAACTAATTAGTTTAAGAGGCAACGTGAGATTAAAGCAAATCATTGAAGATAACAAGATACCTCAAATTTAGATATTTCTCGTCTCATGTTTTCAGCTTCAGCCATCAATTGTTCCAAATGAGAGTCCGAAATGCTAATCTCTTTCTTATTATTTTCGAGGTCTTCTGCAAGTTGTTCTATAAGATATAACCAGATTTATGGTCAAGATTCAATGACAATCAGAATTTTCATTAAAGAACTGATATAAAAAATAGCACTTACTAATTTCGAGATGAAACGTCTGTACAGCACGCTGCATGTTTTTTACAGTCTGACTGCTTTTGGCCAATTCTGCTTTGCCATTAGTGACTGATTGCTTTATTTAAAATATTAATATCCACAAGAGATAGTTAATATATCGTGTCACATTAACGGAAAAATGTTAAGAAATTGCGTTTATCTTACTTGAATATCTTTTAGTTTTGAATCACGGTTATTTTTAAATTCATTCATTTCTTTCTCGATTTGACGACAAGAGTCAAGAGCTGCCTGTTTTTTGGAATTTGCTGCGACTATAACGTTCTCTTGCTCCGATATTTGCAGTTTGATATTTTCGATTTCGTGAAAAGCCTTTAAATTACCACATAAAAACAAAAAAGTAAACTAATTGTCGACGATTCGAATCTTAAAAACGATCTCATGATGATATTCTACAAAGAAAATTAATGTACCTGTGCATTACTACTCTTTGTAATTTGTTCTTCGATCAACGCAGCTTCATGTTTCTTCAGATCTAATTTTTGCTTGACTGTTTGATACTTTTGCATGGTTTTTTGCATTCCCTCCCATTCAACAACCAAGTTATCAAGCTTTCGTTTATGAGAATCCAATTCTCTCTTAATCTCTTTAAGGTTCTGTAATTTTATCAGTATTCCCGCGGTCGATGGTTTTGACCCACCCTGTAGCGTCCCAGAAGGATCATAAACATCTCCATCTAAAGTAACTGACTTTGCTTTAATGTTTCTGTCAAAAGTTACTCGTTTGGCGCTTTCAGCGTCATCGCAAATAAGAGTGCTTCCGAATACATATTCCATGGCGTTACTAACTTCACGCTCATATCCAATCAACCTCAAGGCAAGATTCACTTTTCCAGGAGCGATTCTTTCAGCAGTCATAAGTTTCTGTATATTGTAATAGTATTAATTGCTAAATATTTATAAGAACATCATTAAATTGTGCTTACTTCTGCTGAAATCTTGAATGCTTGTACTTTGTTTAATGGAATTATGGTCACGCGTTTACGTAGTTTTCCTTTTTCAAGTAGCTGAGAGCCGATTGTCTCATTTTCGACGACAACCTACGTAATAATACTCACACGATTAAAAAGGTCAACTTGTCTAAAGAGGACAGTTATAAATATAATAAATACATTATATAGCCGACCACCGGCACAAACTTCTAAGGCAGTCGAATATTGTTCTTTATCAAGAGTCACCAATTCTGCAACTAAACCTTTAACTTTTGATCGATCAAAATTAAGAACTGGATCGCTATATGTGAACTCTAGACTTGAGAGTTGTGAGGATAAAGATTCAAATCGCTGAAGCAAAAAAAATTTTGAGTTTATTAACCAGAAATGAATTTGAATTCATTATGTAAAATAATAATCAGACAATACCTCTGAAAGTTTTCTCACTATCTCTTGTTCATTAGATTTATTATTTAAAAGGTCCGTCTCTTTTTGCGAGTCCCAATTCATTCTAGATAAAATGACCTAACAAAAGTATCAAACAAAAATAATAATGCAAGCTAAATAATCCCGTCAAGCATATTTTATCGGATAAATTCAAATTAGATTTATTGATACCTGTAAATCTTGCACCGCTTTTTGAGCCGTTCGAAGTTCACCCAAAAGTTCTTTGCTATCTTTTTGAGACTTCTTCACTTGAGGCTCTTTTTCGCTCAATTCTTTTTTCAGATGAGATATTTTCAATTTTGCTTGTTCAACTTCAGTCGATGCCTGAGTCGCGTTGTTTTTGGCCTCTATTTATTGGTTATACAATTATTTTGTTATTGAAACTTTCATAATAGATGAATTTCGGGAAATAAATACCTTGAATTTGCTCCATGTATCCATTTTCATGACCTTCCTGAGCTGATATTCCTGTTGACAAGGTTTGCAATAATTCCTCTGATTTTCTAACTTGCTCACTTTTTTCTTCGAATGTCTTTTTGACCTCATTAAATTGAGTTTGGAGCTTTTCGTGCTCGCTTGTTTTGCGAACTAATGCAAGCTCTGTCTGTAATTCGATTTTTTTAATCAATTATAAAAAATTTGTATCTTATTTGACAATATAAAGATAGTCATGTATTCATGTTATACCTCAGTCTTCGCAGCAAGCAAAGACTCTTTCTTCTTATTTTCTTCTTCAATCGAGGCCGCCTTAAGATCACATTTTGTCTTTATACGGACAATATGATTAGAATATTCTTTGACTTTTTTTTCTAGTTCTTGAATGTTTCCGCTATTGCCGAAATCCTACAAGATATTTTTAAATGATACTTTGCTTTTAACTTGCACCCCTTTTTGAATATATATATGAATATAATGTGTTTATTATTGATCAAGTCCAATATATAAATCACCTTTTCTTTCTTTTTCATTAATCGTCTAACATCATTTTCTATTTGTGTAATTTCCTCTTTTAGATTTTCGACCAATTCTTCCATGTCTCGTATTTTTTCTTTTTTGGCTTCGAAATCGGCCCCCGATCTGTGAAGTCTATCCTGTAATTCCATTTATTCAAACAATAAATTTATCTTGCTTAATTTTTGCTTTAAAAGCAAAAAGTAAAAAAAAAGCTATTCACACACCTCATATTTGTGATATTCGTAAGCTATCACCAACCGGCTCACCCGTTCTATTTCAGATTTCGTTTTCACGAATTCTAAATATGCTCGTTTCTCAGTTCTCAATTTTTCCAACATGGGTCCAATTTTTTCATTAAGCAACTATAACAAAAAAAACGAATTTAATAATTGATTTAGAAAATCAGCATCAAAAAAATTTATTTACAGTGGTAATTTCTTCGACTTTTTTCTCTTTTTTCGCGATGGTCTTCAACGCCTTTTCCTTTCTTTCCTCAAACATCCGTGTCCCTGCTGCTTCTTCAATCATGGCCAAAATTTCCGGCGGTTTCATGTTTAATACTTTGGTGATTTTTCCTTGCATGATGAGAAAATGAGGGTTATTGATGTTGAGCTGCACGGACTGGAATAAATTTGCGACGGCCTGTTGTTGGGCTTTGTGTCCATTCACAATGTATTTACTTTGTCCACCCATAACAATCTAGTTACATCAAAATTTTGATAAGATTGAAGAAAAGACGTTTAATTTGAGATTGAACAATAAAGAGCAAAATCACAAACCTGTCTCGTTACTATAATTTGTCTATACTGCTCAAATCCAACCGGACTATTTTCTCGATCTTCATTATTAAATACTATAGTAACCGTAGCTTTTGTGACGCCAGCCTGACCTCGCTTATATATCAAATCTTGCATATTATTTGCACGAACCTGTAACAAAGTGGGTCTTTATCAGATAAATTCACTTTCCGCATTTATATCAAGTAACTTTAGACCATGAAATATACATGTATTTACCTGACTTAGGCTAGTGATGCCTAGCACGAAACAGATGGCATCGAGAACATTGGATTTTCCTGATCCATTTAGACCAGTGATTGCGTTAAATTCTGCGTCCCAGCCTGTAATGTGAGTGCGGACAGAGTATGACTTGAAACCTTCAATAATGAGTTCTGCTATGCGCATTATGAGAAGATGGTGATGATGATTTGAAGTTCTAAAGTACAAATGAATATAAAATTTAATAACGCGAGAAATTTTTACGCGACGTGTTTTACATTTGAGATGTCCGCTGTGATTGGATGATGCAATGCAAATCAATTTTTATTCCAACCACGCTTTAAACGCGCACAGACAACCTGTTAAATTGGACCGTGATTCAAGTTTTTCTACAGTTTAAATGGAACGCTTAAGTGGAACTGAACTATTACAAGAAGCAGGACGTCTCCTTGCAGAGAATAAATATAAGGAAGCAGTCAAAATTTTCGACATTTTAGTTGAAAAATTGCCAGATGTACCTATTCCGTTATTGAGCAGATGTACTTGGTATGATATATTTTAAGATGCTGGTAGATTGATGAATATCTTGTCACGTTACTTTAATTCGAGAATATCCTCTATATTAGCCTTATACAGCTAGAAAAATACAACGAAGCTTTAAAAGATGGTTTGTCTCTTTTTTTCTTTTTTTGATGAGCTCTTTTATAGTTTTTAATATAATTATTTGATGCTATTTGAAAAAAAACCAGGTCTTAAGATACTCGAACTTCCCAACGGACCGATAGATGAGGATGTTGCTAATGGGTGTACAACAGTTCATAGTGTTGCATATGTGAGAATCGCAAAATGTTATAAAGAGTTGGGAAAGGTTTGTCATCATTTTCAATCAATATTATATTCGTAGATAACACGTAATTAACACATCCTTTCTCTTATATAAAAAAGACGAGCGATGCTGAATCAATGATAAGAAAAAAAAATGAGATCGAACAATCCATAATTCGTAATATGGCTAAATCGTCACTAGTCGAAAGTTTGCCACCTGACGAACCATCTAAATCTCTTGCAGAAAAATTACGAATACAAGGCAATGAACTGTATAATCACTCAAAATTCAAAGAAAGCGCGGCTATTTATTCCGAAGCATTAAAAAACGATCCGGATAATTTGTTGATCCATTCGAATCGAGCGCAGGCGTTGTTACAATTAGGTGATTTAGAGAATGCACTTTGGCATGCGGATACTTGTATACGATTAAATCCGAAATGGGCTAAAGGATATTATAGAAGAGGTTTGTGCATGAAAAGAATCTTGATCAAGATTTTTTAGGGATTAAATTAATGAATATTTTGATTTCTATATATTAGGGTGTATATTGTTAGAAAAAAAACAATATAACCAAGCCATAATTGCTTTAGAGACTGCCAGCAATTTTGGGTCAACAGATAAAGAATTATCTAAAAAGCTGAAGATTGCTAAACAGTTTCGAAAACAACAACAAACTTCCGAGAATCTTAGTGTGAAAAACGAGGCTTCAAACTTTATAAATATGTCAATTATTGGAGCGTTGGTATTTGCTTTGGTGTCCATATTATTCTGGTATTTTTCGGATCAAATAATAACGGGAGTTTTATGGTGCGTCAATTTTATCAGACAATTATTGGTTGGATATTTGAATGAGTTTTGGTAAAAAAAAAAATGAATGGACTATTATTTATAGAAGGAAGTGCATCTCTTAATTTTAGAATTTTTTTAATAGATAGACATAGATAAATTAATTTTCGTTCTAAATATCACCTTTATTCACTAATTCTTGTAACACTATAAATAATCTGGTTGGTAATCCAATCACATTATAGTAACATCTAAAAAAAATAGAGACAATTAACAAATATGCCTTTTGATAATATGACAATGAAAAATATTACCCATCAATCTTTTCTACAAAGTGTGCAGCGATTCCTTGATAACCATATGCTCCTAAAATTAACAAACAAACAATCAATCAATAAACCAAATTATCATCGTAATCAAGTAATTACCAGATACAAGAGATAACTTGCCAGCTTTATCCATCGGTTCACCAGTTTCAATATAAGCACGAAAGAATTCATCGCTTGTATTTCGAAAAGTAACCTTGGTATTTTCTACAAATGTACGAATATTATAATCGAGCTGGTTATTTTTTGACTTAATATTATCGCCGTCGTTGTTAGATAACGGATAAATTAATGCCACGCCAGTAAATACATCGTGAGTATTGCCATTTAATGATTTCAATATCTCGAAAGCGTGTTCAGGGGATTCAGGTTTTTCCAAGGTTTGATTCTCATACACGACCACTGTGTCTGCTGAGATAATCAAGTCTGGTCTGGAGGATGATGATGATGGTTGCTTGTATAGTAAAAAAATATATATATATATATATATATACATATATAACTACATTGTTTAACCATTTATGAAGAATTGAGAAATCAAAAGTTAAACGAGAAATCGAACCGTCGTTAGTCTCGTATAGACATCTTTTCCCTTCTCAATCGCGTTCGCTATCACATACTCTTCGGGAGTGTATTTTTGTTTATCGAGCGTTTCCGGAAAATTACTTGGAATCACTTCATAATTAGTACCCTATGTTTTAATAAATATTATAATACTGTATATATATACCATCACATTTCTATCCGATTAATATAATCGATTACAACATTAAAGAAAAAATGTCGGATACCAAAATACTTGACAAAATTTCCCGACGTCGTGGACTGCTAGAGGCTAATATTATATTTTTTCTTTCGAGATATTTCAAATATTGAACTTTGAAGTGCACACTCATGATTTAATTTTATCGTTATTTCATTTATTCTAATTTAGCACGGATTGACATTTTTAATTTTCAGTTTATCACAACGATTTATTATAATCAAAGCAGTAAATACGTAATTTCATTTAATATAATCAACCAACATCATCGTCATCAGCATTAAAACTTAACAATTTTTTGGTGGATTTAGCTTTAGTTTTGCCAACCTTTAATTTTTTATCTTTTTTATCACCTTTGTCAGATGTTTTACTTTCAATGTCTTTATCATCAGCATCTTTATCATCGACATCTTTATCATCAACATGATTATTCCTTTTACGTTTCTTCATACTGTCAATTTGCATCTGAAGATTTTTTATAGAAGTGTCCTTGCCATTTTTGGATCTTGATTTACTATGAGAAACGGAAGAAGAATGGTTTTGGAGATTAACAGATAGTGTTGGTGATGATGATGATGTTGTTGTTGTTGTTGCTGTTGTTGGTTTACGAAAAAGTATTTTCCCTGTTTTCGGATCGATGGCTGGAGAATCATGATCTTTTCACATTATTATTAATGATGAAAAATAATTAATTCATTAGTTGTTTTCCCATTATTTACTAGATTTAACTAATTTTTGCATACCATCAGTAAAGTCACTCTCTTTTTTGGTGCTTAATTTTTGTTCCAAATAATCCTTAACTTGCTCCTCCGACATATGTTTACCCTCTCGCAATACCACGATCTGTGGTTTCTCTTCATCATGTGAATTGATTAGCTCGATTCCTTCCTCTTCTTCATTTGATTGATTCTGTGGAACGATGTCTAAATTTGATGATCCACCACCACCAACACCACCCTCGTCACCATAATCGTCCTCATCCGAATTAAATTTTCTTTGAGCAGAATCATTATCAATTAATCCTTCTAAGAAACGTGGAACCTTTTTGTTGATACATATATGTATAAATTTGATTCGATTTAAATTTCACAATTTTTAAGATAGTGCTTACTTTTTTTACATATGAAAGTCCTTTCGAGTATTGCTTTGGGGTCATCTTTTTAGGTGGCATTGAAAGTTTTTCTTAAAAATTATCTGTGTTGCGAGAGATAAAAAAAATAAAAATGAATCAAACCTGTTTTATCAGATTAATTCCCGAATTTGATTTGTTGACTGCATGATAACGCCATGACAATAGATCGATCTTTCACTTTATTGTTATTGTGTTATTCTATAATGGTCGTGACGTATACCATTGGGTAAATTATTTTATTATAATAAATCGACATCATAAGGTATTTGTTGTATCAAAAAAAAAATTAGTTCAGTATTAACAATCCTTTCTGTCAAGGTCCTTTATAATTCTTTTATTGGAATAACAATTGGGGGTTCATTCCATATTTTAGACAGTTCACTCCCTAGGGATATATGTCACTTCCCTTACACAGACATGTCAGATATTAAAAATTAGAATATAATATTTATGCAATATAAATTTTTTTGTTATTGTATACTTTTTTACTACATGTATTATTTTTTAATGTCGATCACTTCTGTGGCGGGCGTATATATATAATGAATAAAAAATTTTTTGAATCGAATCAAATTCATTTTTTATTACTCTCTCCTCTCTGATTTCGATATAAATCGACAGATGTAATTATGCTAATAAGTTGTGTAATTTTGCGTGTTTTGAGTGTTATATATTGTTTTAATATTATAAAAATTTTAGAAAGAATGCTATTCAACTCTCTTGCTGTCTCTCCGCCTCCTGTTAAAAAGTTCACTTGGGAAGAACTTGCAAAACACAATACACCCGAAGACGCTTTTATTGCCATCCGTGGTAATGTATACGACATCACCAAGTTTATAAAAAATCATCCGGGCGGCGAAGATATTCTATTATTGGCTATCGGGAAGGACGCCACACAGGTTCGATATCACGTGATCTATTTATTAGACGATCTAAATAGAAATTTCCTAACTAAGTTAATACCTTCTACACTAGGCTTTTGAGACCTATCATGAATTAGGAAAGCCTGACATTATACTAAAGTAAATGCATTTCTTTGATTTTTCTTATTAATCCAAGATATAAAATAGATTCAATGATTCATATTTTTTTTTGATTCAAATTTGCAGGAAATATTATGTTGGAATTCTTACAAGTAATGAATTGCCTACATTCCCTGAAATTAGTGATTTTCATCGAACTGTAAAGAAGGTGATCCTTTTTTTTTTGATTTTGATTTTCAAAATTAATTGAAAATATAATGATTCATATTCTTTAATTTTATTATAGAGAGTGGAAGAATACTTTGAGAAAAATCAGATTGATCCAAAGGTATTTATCGATTATTTTTAATATTTTACTTTTGATAATTTTGAACTTAATATTTAATTTATCATCCAAAAGAATCGAATAGATATTTGGATTCGGTATTCTTTTATATTCGGTGCATTTATAGCATCATATTATGCCCAATTTTTTGTTGAATATGTTGTTGATCAGACCTGGCTACAAGTTATATGTGCTGCTGTAATGGGATTCTCGTTGGCTCAAGTGAGTTTGGTTTACGACTTCACTTGGAAGAATTATATAACAATAATAATTATAATCTTTTTCTATCGATGATAGATTGGATTGAATCAACTGCACGATGGAACTCACTTTGCCGGTTTGTATAGTTAAATACCTTCATTGTTCCTTTTTGTCTGGTAATTTAAACTCTAATAATTCGTTATAATCTATCAGTCACACATAACCCTTTAATTTGGAAACTTTTGGGAGCGACACATGATTTCTTTAATGGAGCATCCAATTTAGTTTGGCAATATCAACATAGTCTCGGACATCATATTTACACAAACATCGAAGGTAAACGTTGGATATTCTTCTCTGTTAAATATATTTATTAATATTCTCCCTACTCGTGATTCTTAATTTAGGCGCCGATCCTGATGTTGTGACTGGTAAGTAATTATATATAAAGATTTTCCAATTTAACATCAAACACGCACCTCATTAATATATATATATATTTTAATTTCTTAGCCGACCCTGATATAAGACGAATTAAACCTACACAACGATGGTATTCTCATTATTTAAACCAACAATTCTTTGTTCCCATTCTATATGGATTCCTGGCATTTAAAGTTCGAATACAAGATATCAATATTTTATATATTATGAAATCTAATGACAAGATCCGCGTAAATCCTCTAAGTCAATGGCATACAATGATTTTTTGGGGTGGAAAGGTATTTTTTTTTGTTTGTATGATTCGTTTGTGTTTCGATATTATTAAACTCAGTCTCTTTGTATAATTTGTTAGTTATTTTTCATATTTTATCGAATCATTATTCCACTTGCTCTTATTCCAGCGACAAAAGTTTTGACTTTATTCGTCGTAGCAGATCTTGTTACTTCTTATTGGTTAGCTTTGACTTTTCAGGCAAATCATGTCGTTGATGAAGTTGAATGGTAAAATACATATGTGTATTTTTTTTGCTATTACTTATCACAGCAGATTTGTTATTAATATTAATTCCATACGAAATTAAAGGCCTCTTCCTGATGATAAAGGTTTTATTAACAAGGATTGGGCTGAGATGCAGGTAACTAACTTATATGAATAGACAAAGGAAATGACCGTGAATCCAGTCTCAATATATCCTGTTAATATAAAATAGGTCGTCACCACCCAGGATTATGCTCATGATTCTTTTTTTTGGACGTCTATCGTGGGTTCCTTGAATTATCAAACTGTTCATCATCTTTTTCCGCAAGTTTCTCAACATCATTATCGAGATATAACGCCAATAGTTAAAGCGACTTGCAAAGAATTTGGAATCCGATTTTACTATAGGGTATAATACTACAATTCTTTGGTATTGGTTTGTTAATTATTAAAATCCAAAGATATTGTGCTCATTTCTCTTTTGTTATTAGGACACTTTTTGGGATGCATTTGCATCACATATTAACCATCTTCGACTGTTGGGAATTCGGCCAACTGAAAAGAAAATCAACTAACCCGTTCTGGAAATACCTTATATAGCGATAGAGAGCGTTATAATTAATTATAATGTACTGTAGATTGCATATTTGTATACTACATATTGTATATTGTATATTACATTATATTTTATATTATTTATTTTAATTGTTTGATATTTATTAGTTATTTTTTTTTGTTTCGTGTAATCGTGTTTTAGTTTTCATGATAAGACAAAATGAATATCAAAGTTTTTTACTTCCTTTATGGCTTTCTGGTTCGAGTTTTTGGTTTCGATATTTCTTTACTATTTATTGAAACGACCGTTTCCAAATGTCGATATATTTGACGTTGTTGCTTGGTTGGCTGTAGTTTCTTATTGTTACCGCAACCTATGCAAATATTGTTTTTCCTTGCTAGACAAATTGCCATTATCGGATCATAAAATTTATTTTGCGAGAACATTTCATGCGCGTTTTTTCCCAACACGCCATGCGTTTGAATATCCTGTATTATATGTTGGTGTTGATCTGGATAAACTTTCTTCGGAGAACGTGTCTTTATGGAGCAAAGATATCGCGCTTTTTAATAGGTAAGTATCCTTTTATTCTCACGTTAAACATGACTTTTATTGAATGAAATTCGTTTACATCTTCAAACTAGGATATTCGCATATAATAAAGCAGCTTTATTTAGTATTTTTGCCAATGATTATCTGGGTGATGTGAGATTGGAAAACAATGATGATAGTAAATCAAGTGCGCCCATCGCCCAGAGCATCAAAGAAAAATTGTTTTGGCATATTCGAAGACACGTAAGTTAATAAATCATGTAAAAACATATGCAAGTCTACTTCATGCCGTATCAATAGATCGTTAAAGAATTTACTTATCATTTATTAGAAAATATCTACAGATAATTTAAAACAGATTGAATTAATTACTACACCGAGGTTTTTTGGATATGCCTTTAATCCAGTCAGCTTTTATTTCTGCTATGACAATAATAAAGATCTAGCTGTTATCGTCTTGGAAGTTAATAACACATTTGGAGAGAAACATCTATACGTGCTTTCACGAGATAAGGAAGATGATGATGCAACGATTCGAAGAGGGTAGAGGTTTATTTATATTTAATTACTCGAAAAATCGACGTATACAATCAATATAATTTTTTTTATTTATTAGTTACGATATGAGTTTTACATTTCGCCGCTCCTTTCACGTATCACCTTTCAATGATAGAAAGGGATTCTATCGGGCATTTTGTAAAATTCCGTCCAAGGGGAAACTTGATATGCGTCTAGTGATGTATACCGAACTTTCAGTGCCTTGTAATGAGTCAGAATCGATTCAACTTGGCAAAAAAAAGATGGTAGCTGTCGTGTCTGCTGCTTCTTATCCACTTTCGTTGATTAGTCTGTGTTGTGCCATGATAACTTATCCATTAGATGTATTCTTGACAATGCCTCGAATCATGAAAGAAGCATATAAACTTCATTATCAAAAACGATTGGGGATTTTTCACAGACCAAATCCTACAGAAGGAACTGTGGTAAAACTGGAACCTAATTTCATTGATCGGTACGTATGTTTTTCTTGTTGGATCTTTCTGGTATTAATACATTCTCGATGTTTCTTGGATCTTATAAATAAATATCCATCTTATAGTTATGCTCAACAAGTTACCATAAAGTATTTGCATGAATTGGTGGCAGCTTGTTCAGAACCAATTTCGATTACAATTCATCTTCCTCCCTTGAATAAACCGCCGATTCATATTTCAAATCAAGTTCAAAACTTGTCACATAAAAATATAGTTTTACATCTGTCAAATTACACTTTTTTCACAAATTTTCTATTTGATCAAACTATTTATCGCGCTCTGATTGTTGGATATTTCGAAAAAGCGTGGGAATGTAATGATCTATCTTTACTACTGGATTTCTTTTTCAACTTTACATTAAAAAAGAACAACGAAAACAATTTCTTTAAGAATGAGCCATTATTATCCGGTGATGAAATTTGGGCAGCGAAAATTCGAAGATCGTATTTGAAAAGTATCATTAATGGAAAAAACTCTGGTGGGCTTGAGGCAAAAAAAGAGTTTGATCAATTAATTCAAAAATTATCGTTGGGTAAAAGCAAAGATCAAAAATTCACAATTGCAATAATGCAAAAGGATGCGCTATTTTCTGAAATCGTAAGGATAATTAATCATATTTGCATATTATTTCACAATGTTCGTCGATCATATTAATCATATAATTTACATGTTTTTAGTCAGTTAATAAGAAGAATGTGGATACAAATATCGAAAAGTTCGACTTCAAACATATTTATATGTTTGCTACACCTTTATCTGGTTTTATCAATGGTCTTATACCTTTAGTGAATGACAAACTTCATTTGTTGCCATTTCCACCTCGATATCTTCCTGATGATTTAAGTAAGCATCCTATTGATAAAATTGTGCTTACTTCTTCAGCATCAAAGCGCGACCGTTTACAACACTTCTGGGTTTTATTTATTGGTGGCATTTTGTACAAGTTAGACGCATGGTTTTGGCAAAAAACTACAGGATTTGTAGAGGGACCACTTGGAAATCCGTTTGTTGTAGAAAAATATATATGGGAAGGTATATTAGATTTGATAAAAAAGGCTAGTGGTGATAACTCATATGAAAATATACTAGATGTGTGGGAAGTTGTATATGAAAGAAAAGGTATAGTTGTAATTTTAATTGTTTATAGATAATGCTTAATTTATTGATTTTTTCTTTTAAAATTTAGATGGTCAGTTACATTTGATTCCGCCTGTTCCCTTGACAAATTTTCCATGGAAATCAAAAGAACAATCGGATGGTAATACTATTATAAATATTAAAGATTTCCGATATCGTTTATGGTTGTATATTAAAACTTTTAGAGAAACCGTACTTGTCGATCGTAATGTATAAAATACACATCAACTCGAAATTCACCATTCAGATATGAAAATTCTATTCCACCTGAAAAATTTTCCCTTAATTTCTTTATTAAAAAAAGTATGATTGTCAATTCGTAATATATACAATAATTAATTTGAAAGAGATTTCATAAGGTTGAGATGACATCTTTAATTATCAGATACATGTTGCATAACATCTATTTTGGATTTTATAAATTCAATAAACTTCTTGACTAAGAAGTAAATGCAAAATTTTAGTCTTGATAATATTCACGGATTTCCTATTTAGTCAAGAAGTTTATTGAATTTTAAAAATATTGATAAGCTTAGATGTTATGCACTACACTAATTAAATTCATTTATTTACAACATTCTTTGTAGAAATTTATCAAGGATTCATGTTATCAAACTATTTTTTAACAAAATTTCACACAATTAAGTTTTTTTATTATATTAATGATTCAAGATTAATAATGATATAGAAAAAATTTTCTTCGTTTTTGAGAATCTTGATAACTGCTTCATGATTTTAAATAAAATATGCCTAAACTACATATAATGCCATGAATTCTGTGTTTCATTTGTAAATTTGCGTTAATATATCCTGGCTATTTGCTTTTCGATACCATTTAAAAGCCTCAAAAATATCTTTAGATGTTCCTCGACCATAAATGATAACAGAGACCAACTTGACATATTAACAATTCACAATTCGCACATGCCAAATAACTCTTGAATGCTTTATTCTTATCTTTTTTTGTTCCTATTCCTCCTTCATAACATGTACCGACCATATATTGTCCCATAGTATTATCATCCTTTTACTGATTTGAGGAAACATTGAAATGCCTTAATATTATCTCTTTTTGTTCCTGTACCCCATCTATCACAAAGACCAAGATTATATTGGGCAATTTCACTGTCCTCGTCTTCTGCGTTAAGATACCAGCCAAATGCTTTATTTTCATCTGACTGTTTCCCTACCTATTTCATAACATACACCAAGCTGAATCTGTGCGTCAATGTATCCATTATTTTGCTAATTTGAAGAAAAAGTTCAAATTCTTTATGCTCGTCTTCATCTATGCTGTACCACATTGGTAATATATCGCAAGATTATATTGGGCATCTTCATAACCTCGCTCTGCCGCTTTGAGACCTGCATAACTCGAAGCGAGATTAAATTGTGCTCTAACGCTAACGTTTCCTCCTGTTGATTTGCGAAAGTATTCATATGATTTTTTATAATCACGTTTGCATACACTTTCAAAATTTGCGATTGTTCCGCTCCCGTATATTGAATATCATCATCACGTGGCTTTTGAAAATCCTGATCATCAAGATATGTAAGAATCAAATAGTTTAATTCTACACCGCATATAAATAGTTCACGTGAGGTAAACTTAACATTAATTAAAAGGGATAGAAAAAATATAAGAAACGGGAATTTTATATAAGGAACCGAGACGGATATTAAGAGAACTTGTACCATTTGTGGACTCATCGAACCTGAATAAACATAGGAGCGAGAAATTGTATTCTGGTGGACGCCGTTTGGAATTATTACCATTTTTTAAAGTAGATAACTACAAAATTAAAACGTGTTTAAATTATTTTCATAGTATAAATAACGCGTCTCTGTGTGTGTTTCTCACCACCACCATCACAAAAGTGGCAGCAAACTAACCAATAATACGAAATATAGTATATACATATGTACTGATTGAACAAAAAATAGTTTTTTATTCTCCTCGGCTCTTTTCGTTAAAAATAATTCGCCGAAATACATGTATACATTTTTATATGGTATATCCAGATACGAAATTTAAATTGATAATATTATACATATCGATATACATACACGCTTGAAGAGTCGCGTTAGATATTTCCATAATGAAAGTTCCAAGGAAATGATGCAAAAGTCGCCACAATTATCAAAGATCTACAGGTAAAGCATAATCTTCAAATTCGAAGAGAAATGAAAAAAGTAGAAAAATTAAAAAACTAAAATTTCTGAGCAGTTGAAATACTCAAAAAGTTTGCGTTCTGTTCAAGTATCACAAAAGAAGCTTAGCAGTATTCGCTGCTAGAAGTTCTAGTGTATTCATTTAACACATCATTTTTGGATGATTCTCTGCAATATGCATGATACCTAAGACTAAACACGATAAATCGTAAGAAAAATAGAGGTAACTGCAGGCTGCAAGAAAATCTTCGATAATCAGCTAAAAAGATAAGTCACAGCGGACGCGTAAGTACATATAGAATAAGGTGAGCTCATAGGTGATTTCAGATTTTTACAACGAGACATTAACCTATAAATTCTTTTAATCTTGAGAACTTGAGGAGATAATGGGAACGAGCGGTGAAAGAGTATATTCAGTCACCCGAAGACTCAGCATTCAAAAAATTTAGAAAGTAACACATTTATTTGGAAGCTAAGCCACCTCAACATCGAGAGACAGACATCTCAATTGGCATCTTTACTTAATGCGAAAGTGTATCTTCGCTCGTGGTTGTTCCCGGCCAACACTACCATTAGCTGGCCAATAATTGAAATCATGTTAAGAAAAAAACGACATAAAGTTTGACACGTCAAAATCATGATACCATACATGATCTACATTTCGTTAATTACTACTGCAAAACAATCGTGAAACATTTGTCTACTTAAAAAAAATATGAACCTTTTGAATTCTGAAGAAAATCAAGTTAAAAAGATTTCACAAGAAACCTTCGAAGAAAATAACCATTCTCAACAAAATCTTTTATCAGGGTATATTAATTCACTAATTTATTGACTCGCACGGTACTTTTATCGTTATCATGTTTATTGAATTTTGAACTATAATTTTCTAAATTAGTGAACTTGCCTCTGTTTCTTCAGCAAATAAAAAAGAAGCGAAAGATGCTGTAGAAAATCATGATGATGGTGATGATGATATTGAAAATAATAATATCGTTAAAGAGAAAAATATCAATAATGATAACGATTATGATAATGATGATATTGATAATGATAGTCCAATTGATGAAGAATATTGGCAATCAATTAAAAAGGTTCAAAACTTTCAAAATCTGCGAACAATGCATGCGCCTGGTTGGCATAGTGCAGGTAGTCCCAAGTAAATAATATATTATTTTTTTTACAATTTTTTTTTCATAATATCAAATGCAAATTATAAAAATTAATCTAATTTTTTTTTAATTCAGTGAAACATTTACATTAGTTCGAGATTGCACTGGAAAACATAATTTTGGTGAGTTTATTTAAAATAAAAAAAATCAAATTCATTAATTTATAATCATATTTAAATATTTTTTAATATTGAATATAGAATTTCAAAATCTTTCTTTTTATTCTCAAGTTATTTTTGCTTCTCCCACAAGTCAAAAAGAACTTATACTTGGAACTTCCTCTATTATTTCTGCTTCTGATATTACCATTACCACATCTTCTATTAATAATCAAGAAATTCATACCTTTGTTCATCTTTTTCATAAATTACTTTTTGAACCAGAATTTGTTCATATTTATTTAATGGCCAAAGAAATTCTTCCCTTAATGGAAGAAATTTTTTCAAAAAAAAAAAAGCAAAATCAAAAAGAAAATTCATGTCATTTTCATTTTCATTGTGGAAATTGGATAAATTCAGGAAAAGTTCCAATTACTAATGCTGATTTATCAACTTATTCTGAAAAAAAGGCAAATATGATAGGTGATTCAATTTATCCTCTTATAATATCTTTAAATGATATTGTGATGATGAAAATGAGTCAATATTATGCTCTCATGTTGGATAAATTTATGAAATTATCCATGCCAGAATGGATAAATTGGAAACCACCAGTTTATCAAATGGCAAGGTTCAATTTTCATAAACATCATCATATTGTTTCACCTTCATCATCATCAAGTGACAAAAAATTAAAATGTAATGAACTTTTCAATATTAGAAGTATAGCAACAAAATTCGGATTTGTTGCAGTATTTTTTATTGGTGATTTTACTGGCGGTGAAATTTTTTTAAATGATTTAAAAGTAAAAATTCAAGTAAAACCAGGAGATCTGTTATTTTTTAGAGGTGGAATGAAATATTCGGTTTATAATTATGTGGGTACATTCGGAACAATTGTTTTATTCACCGAGGAAAAACTTTTTATTTAGAATTTTGAAATTTTTAATTTAATTTTTTTTTTATTCATTTGTTTTTACAATTCATTTTTGAAATCTCATTATCAGTCATTCAATATAACACAAATCGACATTTAATTCAAACTATTGAGTTCAAAGACATATATTCTCGCTCTCTCACAGTATCTTACATTAATCACTCTAATCCATTTATTTATAAACCAAAAACGTTAATCAACCACCGGAAATGTAATTTCTTGCTCCCGCTTAAATAACAATTTGCCCTTCAATAGTTTTTTGATCCAATCCCAACCGTTTCAAACAATTAAAATATCGTCCCAAATCTTGCCGCTTCAAATATTTGAGCATGCTTTGTCGTTTGTGCACCATCATTCGTAACTGTCTATAATTGTGTTTGTCTTTGCGGTTGTTCTTGATGTGCTCATGAAGATTGAGAATACGAACCGTCCAGACAGCAGCTTTTTTTTTAATTCATAAAAAATTTCATCTAAATTTTTATCAAATAATAAAAATAATATTTGATCTATTTTCTTTCACCTCACCTTGGACTTCAGGGCTTCCCGTGTCTCCTTCAAATCTACCAAATTCTTTGATCGCCCGACGAATATTATACAGCGAGATAGCTTTAGCGTTCGTATTATGCAATGCAACAATTTTTTCCAAAGTTGCAGCTTTCTCATCTTCATCCTTAATTCCAACGGCATCATCATCAAGATTCACCGGCTTTTCTTGTCTATTCAATTCTTTTGCCGCTTTTGGCATTGTATGAAACAACAACTTCTCATCACTCTGATCGAGAAAATAATGTTTAGGTCGCGGTAGTGATGGATCAATGGCCGCTTGATATACTTGTGCGGGACGTAGTAACGACTTAGTGAATGGTGTCTCGATTCCGGATATCGGATCGGGTCTTGACTCCTCTTCTTGCCTTTGACGGTCGGCTTTGAATTTGATGTTTGCACGTTTTATTTGACGTGGATTTTTTTTTTGGAATATGGGTGTTGAGTGGAATTGTTGCTTTTTATTTTGATGTAGTGGTTGATGCTTATTTTGATGAAAAGATGCTTTCGATAAATATGTTTATGCGTTTATATTTATTCATCTATTAATTTCTTGACTTGTTTTTAATTGGCGGTATTTTAAATAATCCGAGATATCAATTAATAATTACCAAATTTGATGATATATTCTCGCGCCGATAAGAAAGATTGTAATTGTATTGAGTACGACGACGAACATGCAAATATACGTTTACATTGGGAAAGTGTCATTTCTTTAACATACTATTAAGAAATACACAAATGAAATTTTTTCTCTCGGGTTGATTTTGTTTATTTTTCCTCTTTGGGCTTAACTATAAATAGGTTTTTCCCTTGATCTGTTCACATGATATACGTGTACTACTAGTATTTAAACAGTAATTTTTCAGTGTGCGAAACTTATTTTACAAACCCCATAAATTCAAATCAATAATCACTTTTGTTTTCAACTACACAGAATGAATACTCTTTCAAGGTAAGCAAATCTTTTCGAAATTTTTTTTTGTTAATAAAATTTTCGTATACTCATCACGGCTGCTTGGACTGCTACTAGTGCATTGCCAAAACCTCGACATCAATTATTAACATCGCAACAACAAGATCAATATGAACGTAAATTTGAAGAGATAACTGCGGTGAAGTTAAAAAAACAACCACCACCATATGGTCAACGTGCAGATTGGAAACCAAGAACAGTCGATGACTTTGGAGATGGTGGTGCATTCCCAGAAATACATATTGCTCAGTATCCCTTGGATATGGGGCGTAAAAAGACGGTAAGATTTTATGATGCACCGTGTAGATATCATTCTTTTTTAATATGCGATTGAAAAAACCAAAATTTAAGTTTAGGCCACAAGTGGTGGTGCATTGTCATTACAAGTTGATGCAGAGGGAAATATTCGTTATGATGAAATCGCCAGACAAGGACATAGTGAAGATCGTATAATACATTCACAATTTAAGGATTTGGTTCCGTTAAATCAAAAAACCGATATAGAAAAGCTCTCATTAGAAAGGCCAGATGAAGAAGAAATTAAAGAAACAACAGAGAAGACAAGAGAAGCATTAGAAAAAATTGTGCAGGGTAAAAAGATTTGTACAATATATGTTTCCGGGTATTAACAATTAATATTAATATGGTTCCTGTTGTTAATTTATAGGCAAAATTAAAGCGGCACAGCCAAAAAATGTGAAATCCGATCAACCATCAGAACCCACATATATAAGATATACACCGGGACAGCAAGGAGAAGCTTATAATTCTGGTGCAAAACAAAGGATTATTAGAATGGTAGATATGCCAACTGATCCAATGGAACCACCTAAATTTAAACACAAAAAAATTCCTAGAGGACCTCCTTCTCCACCTGCCCCTGTACTTCACTCACCTCCACGTAAAATAACCGCACAAGAACAAAAAGAATGGATAATTCCACCTTGCATTTCTAATTGGAAAAACGCCAAAGGTTTTACCATTCCTCTTGATAAACGTTTGGCTGCCGATGGTCGAGGTCTACAAGAGGTATTTGTTATTTATTAATTTAATTGTAATAATTATGTTGCCACATAATGCTAATGATGATGATGATGATAATTATTGTTAAGTCAACAATTAATGATAATTTTGCAAAATTATCCGAAGCACTCTTTGCGGCTGATCGACATGCACGTGAAGAAGTGAGGCAACGATCATTGATGCGAGAAAAACTTGCTCAAAAAGACAAAGAAGAAAAAGAAAAAAGATTGCGTATGTTGGCACAAAAAGCTCGAGAAGAAAGAGCTGGTATATCCACAACTGTAACATCTGGAACAGGAAAGTCATCAAAACCTGATGAAGACGAATCTTCATCTGAAGAGTCAGAAGATGACGTTTCAAAATTGAAGGAACGTGAAGAATTAAGAAGAGATCGAAGAAGAGAACGTGAACGTGAATATAGATTATCAAGAATGGGAGCAGAACAAAAAGCCAAATATCTTGCAAGAGAGCAAAATCGAGACATTTCTGAAAAAATCGCATTAGGTCTTGCTAAACCTACAATCAGTAAAGAAAGTATGTACGACTCGAGATTATTCAATCAAAGTGAAGGACTTTCCTCTGGATTTAAAGATGATGAAGGTAAAATCTAACAATTTCTGTATCATATCTTTGTCAAGACAAATAAGTTAATTTTTATATATCTATATATTTTATGTGTGCAGTATATGATCTATATGACAAACCATTATTTGCCAGTTCGGCGGTCTCAAATATTTATAATCCTAAGAAGAATTATGATCCTGACATGTTTGGCGGAGGAAATGAACAAGAAATTGTTCAAAAATTGAGTACCGAAAACAGATTTGGACTTACTTCGAAAGGATTTTCGGGAGCAGATCCAAATCAGGTTTGTTTTCCATCATCTAGATATTCAATGCTCCAATGTTTTAATTTATCATTCTCATTCATTTGTAGGCTCGAGATGGACCAGTTGAATTTGAAAAAGAAAGTTCCGACCCATTTGGTTTTACCCAATTCTTAGCTGCAGCTAAACAGGGAACTAAACGTGGCCTCGAAAATGTTGGGGAAGGTAGCAGTAGTCATAAAGGAAAGCGTGCCAAGGAATAATCAAATTTATCCATCAAACATTGCATGTTTCACAGCCAATTAATTACTTTATTCTATTCGTTCTTCTATGTGTAAATAAATCTTTTTTGTATCCGAAAATATTAATTTAAAAAATTTTAGGTTCCCATTAATAATGATATTTCATTCTTCAATTTGTTACATTTGTAACGAAAAAATTTACTTTGAAGAAATCAATATTAAATATATTTTGATTCAAAAATTCAGCCTTCTGAAAATTGTACCAATAGCAATAATAGTAAACGATTTGATTGTGGCGAAACAATAGGCGTAAGTTCATTTTGCATCACGTCACATGGGTTCATTTGACACTCAGATTTGGGTATTTCTTCACGTTGCACTCAGCCCAAATTACATGTAAAATTTTAAAAATATGTCACCGTGCAGATATGATGATTTGTGCTACAAATTAGTCTCTATATAACCAATTCTCTATTTCGCGTAAAATATTTCATTTATAAAATCTCATTTGTAAAACCCATATCAAATATGAACTTTATTAAGAAATTTTTGTATGTAGGAGGTGGTGGTGGTCGTCGAAATCAAATCGAGCGAGTTAAATCGTCTAAAAGACGCTCAAAAGATTTGCTTGTAATTGTTTGTATAAGTATTTTTTTGCTGACATCACTTTATTTTCTTTTGCCATCGACAAATGACAAAATGAACAGCAATTTTAATAATTCTGATGATAATGAGGGTAAGATTGAATCCTCTCCTCCCTCCTCTTCCATCGCAAAACCTTCCAAATCAAAAATTTCAACGAAGGAAATCTCACCATATTCGAATCATATTTTTATAAGTACTCTCCCCGCCTCGTTATACTCTGATAAACGTTTAATATTTATTGGGGATGTACATGGAGCTCTCGAGGAACTTGACGCTCTTCTTGAAAAACTGAATTACTCATCGACAAAAGATCATATTGTCTTTACTGGTGATCTATGTGCAAAAGGCCCAGATTCACTTGGAGTATTGCGAAGAGTGAGGGAATTAGGTGCAAGTGGTGTAAGAGGAAATCATGATGATAAAGTGGTGAGATGGAAGGGATTTTTGAAAAGTTTGGAAGTTGAAGTGGGTAAAGAAGTTGAAGTTAACAGTGAAAGTGTACCAAAAGATCTTAAGATTGGAAGTGAACATGAATATATGGCAAAGTAAGTCAAGTGACTTGATTAAGTGTCACTGGAAAACACGGAAAATATATTTAGTTTTTTTTTTATATTTCTCTAGAAATATAACTGACGATTTATATGAGACACTTCTATCCTTTCCGTTGATACTCGAAATCCCGGAACATAATTTATATGTCGTCCACGCTGGTCTACTTCCTGATTTACCAATAGCCGACCAATCACCTTATGATATCATGAACATGGTAATCATTCATAATATTTAGCTAAACTGATAATATCACATGTGATCATATTCACTAGATGCTTCCTTTCCATTTTTTTATTAAGCGAAACATAAAAAATGATGGAACTCCCACCAAACAAAAACACAAAGGTCACGCATGGACCGATGACTGGAATCAAGCACAATCACGATCCGAAAATCCTAAAACTATAATTTACGGACATGACGCCTCAAGAGGACTACAAATTAAAGAATATACAATCGGATTAGATTCAGGATGTGGCTCCGGTAGAGAATTAACCGCAATGATATGGAATGAGGATCCCAAGAAACGCGAGCTCGTTAGTGTCAGATGTACCTCCAAGTATAAGGTTAATTTGGATGATTCCGATTAGGCATTTTTTTTTAAATTATTATTTAATAGAAAAACTTGTAAATATGAAAAAATAGAAATGGAAATCATAACTATATTTTATCGTTTCATCATCATCATCATCATTATTATTATTATTATTATTATTATTATTAAATTAGAGACTTGTAGAATGTTATTTGTTTTCCTGCAATGCCTCTTCCCGTACCCGAACCCACTGCATTAGTCTAGCGTCTACTTTGTATTTTTTTTCTATCATCCATTGTATCAATTTTAATGCGTTTTGCTCTCTCTTTTGCCCTCCCAATAATAAATTAATTAATGCTATCAATTCATGTGTTTTTATTGTGGGTCGAACGAGTTCATTTTGCGATAGATGCGTATATATCTGATCAAATATTGGTCCAAAATCAGTAGGTGTATGCGGCAAAGTGTCTAACATTGGGATTCCCTTTTTATGATACCATCGTTGGATAGGAAATTGATTTGGTGTTCGATTTTGCACCTTTAACTCGTAATAAATTCGTTCCAAAAATAAATGATAGATTGTAATTGTCGGATTAACTTGCATTTCCTTCATTTCGTTCAAAATTTCAATGGCTCTGATCCACTCTTCACAGTCAATAAGGGCATTTATTAATACGTGAAAGGTGGAGATAGTCGGGGTGACATTCTGAATAATTTGTTTGCGTGTTTGACTATTAAGATAGACTAAAATCGCGTTATGTAATTTACTTGAAAAAAAATTACTTTTTTGATCTCGACTCTCATTTTTATTAACTTCTCTAGAAGAATCAGTATAGTCGTCTTTGATGATTATATCATTTGGTAAGCTTCTAATCCATTCTTTATCACTTATCGCATCCTTTACTCTATTTGCAATAGCTTTGTAAAGTTCCATTGCCGCTTCCATATTCTCAGCTTTAACGTATGTTTTAATGAGAATATTCAAGACAGTAATATCCGGTTTACAGCCTGATTTCAACATCGCATTAAAAATTTTCAGCAGTCCTTGAAAATCATTCACTTTCGCGTATCCATTAAAAATCGTCGTAAAAATAAATAAACCAGGTTGAATGCGATAAACTGTTTGCATCTCATCTACTAATTGTCCGGCTAATTGTATTTGATTCCCTTGAATCGCCATTTCAATTAAAATACTAAATGTTATTATACTTGGCTGAATATTTCCTTGAAATTTCATTTCATTGAATATCGATATAGCATCATCGATTTGTTGACGTGTTATTACCCCCGTTGTATTTGCAAAAGAACTGCGAATAAAGTGGAGAAGAGAGTTGTACTCGTCGATATAAATTGGAAATCCTTGCGATTTTAAATCATCAATAATATCAAGTAGAGTGTTAGGATTTCGCTCTCGTTTTGGAGTTTCCCGAACAATAACATTTATAAGATCTCTATAGTCACTACGGGTTAATAGCGAAAGACCGGGAGTTTTACGAAGATAATTATATGCGGTTAAAGATCTTTCAAGATGACGTACTTTAAGACCGTGATAAAAATTTCGAAGTAATCCACATATTTCGAATATTTTTAAGTTTAATTGATTGTTTGTAGAGATCCTGAGAGATTTTTTCAAAGGAACCCAATAGAACTTGCTGTTGTCAGCATTATTATCAGAATTTTTTGACTTTAATAAGTTATATTGTTCCCGTTCTTGTTCTTGTTCTTGTAATTTAGACTCATTTGAAGCTGCGGGCAATAGAATCACATCATCGTTCTTGTTCGTCAGATTTATATCTTCACAGTCATCATAAATTGATGGAATAAATGGCGAATCTTTATTCATATTTAGATGTTCGTCGTCTCTAATAACAGAATTAGCGTTGATAGGGTCAGAGTCTGTTATTATTTGACATTCATCTTCTCTTTTAAAATTATAAAGGTTCCTTTTAATGAAATTACTACTTATCGAACGTAATTGTCCAAAATTTTCCTCACCAAAACAAGGCCATGGTTGTTTCAGGCAACGACGACAAATTCGATGCCATAATAGATGATATTCTACACATTTTGCCTGCCTTCTAAAACGAATTACATCATATTTATGTGCATATAAAGTTGGTTTTAATCCGATTTTAAGAAACAGAAATCTTAAGTTTATTTTTTGAAACATCATCAAAACCTCATCAAGGGTTGCCTCAAAAAAATTTTCTTCACGGAAATGGTGGCACCCACAAATCCCGATGTCATTTCAGACGACGCCAATATTGACACACAAGATAACATTTCAATTGGTTCAGTTACGTCTCAAGAACAAGGAGACGGAGATGTTGCGGCTAATATTTTAGAAGATAAAATTGACATTGTACATATTTATTTGATTTATACTTCATACAATAAATTAACTTTCTATTCGAATTTTAGATATCAGGACCGAATAAAGACATGCATAATATTACGTTTGTGCTTAAAGACGAAGATCACACACTTGGAAATGCTCTTCGCTATGTGATAATGAAAAAGCAAGGATTTCTATTAATTTATTCGATCAATTGATAATATGGCGATAATATTAATTTTATGATTTCTTGAAAATAGTCCTCATGTGGATTATTGTGGATATTCAATTCCACATCCATCAGAAGCAAAATTAAATCTTCGGATACAAACATCTGGTAATCTAAACAAGAGATTTTATTTATTTTAATCATAAATTAATATATAAATAATATAATAGAGAAAACCGACGCGGTAGAAGCTTTGAAAAAAGGATTAGAGGATTTGGCGGGACTATGTCTTTATGTTGAATCGGAATTTCAAAAAAATTTTCAGGAAGGCAGTTTCGCTTATGATTCGGATAGCTTGTAAAGTCAATAATACGAAAGTGAAATTTGCTTAGATTTTTAATTAGGCCAAATTTGATGATAATGATTGTTTTATACGTAAGATCTTTCTTCGTTCTCTATTTTTTTGTCAGATATTTACTTTTCTGCTTCCTCGTTCCTTCTATCAACATCTTTATTCCCATCTTGTTTTTCCTCGTTTATTTTCTCATCGTTCAACGTTAATAATCCGACAAATTGCCTCGTCAATAAATTAAACATACTTCCAAAAAACAATGCAAGCACGGTACATGTCAACGTGATAACATTATATGGCATGCTAAAATCGGGAGTGGGAAGACTGACAAGTAATGTTTCCGTATAAATTCGAATTGGTGATTCGATTTTAAACCTAAATACAAGAATAAACATAAATTAAATGTAATTAGCAATAAAAGGTGCATTTTACTATACATGTAAACGTACCCATATTCTTCTGTTTTTTCCCCGTCATCATTGTCTTTTTTATTCGAAACAACTGTAATAACCGCAGATCCAACATCAAATCCTCGATTAGCATCAGGCGGATGTTCAGTATATTTTAAAAATACTTTGTCGAATAGTATTGAGAGGGTGGTTATGGAATTGGATGGTAAATGAATCAATGCTTCAATTACAGCTGGTCGTGAACGATCCATGGCTGGTTGATAATATAAATCTTTGATAGGATAATCTTTTAGGTTTCCAACAAAATAAATTTATTAATGAATTATTGCAAAGTAATTTTTATAATGAGCATCGATTATTATTTTTGATTTACCTTTAGATTTAGAATTCACCTCCACTCCATTGATTCTTACTTTTAAAGTGTGCAAATATAATTTTAAATACCATGGAATTACATCATAATATATAATTGGAATTGTGAGATCAGGACTCTTATTGAAAATGTTCACTTTGATCCCGCCCCGTTCTTCTCCATATCCTAAATTAAACAATTGGAGTAAATCTGAAATTCTTAGTTTTAATGAAATAATCGATACTGTTCCACACTAACCAGAGAAATACCGATGTGCAAACACCTGAGGCAGTATGACTTGATTATCTGAAAAGGTTGATTACATCGTTAATACTATAAAAAATTAATCAGTTATTTGTTGTTATTGAATTATTGCTTACCATACGTGAATTGAGTTTCATTCCATTTCATTGAAAGCTGTAAGTTATGTGGATCTATTTAAAGAAAAAAGAATGGAAAATTAATGTATGAATTAAATAAATAATTTGTTGGAACAAATAAATCATTTGATTATATAACCTTTCTTAAGATCATAAATCGCTATATTTTGATTTATAGTTTCGCCCTTGATCACCTGATCAGCTTCTGGTATTATCTCAAAATCACCTTCTTCTGGTATAATTAACAACAAATTACTCTCGTTGGCTAATGGACATACTCTCAATATTTTTCGATTGTATAATTCACTTAGAGACCAATCTACAAAAATGAATGAACCATTTATTAACTATTAATAGTTGAATAAGCAGCCTATCTTGTTAGAAAAATCTTAATAATAACCTCTGACTCCTTTGTTCCTTACAGGATTAATTACCGTAGATAATGTTTGTAAAATTTCCAATTGTTGGTGAGTGCACTCTGAATCTTGACATACTGGCCGTACGTTAATTGACATTGAATGAAAATTGGAGTTGTATAATTCATGTCCATTTACTAATGATGCTATGCCAGCCTTTTATATATGAAAATGTCATAATAAGGCTATTTAATATTGTAAAATGGACTAAATAAAAATCAATTACAACTTACAGTTGATTTACAAGGTAATAATTTAATCCAAGGTGTCAAATTTTCAGTACAAACATTTTCATGTGGTAATGAACCTGTTCTTAATTCTGCGCTATCGTATAACTCTGTATCTGTGTAATCAACATCTTTTAATTTTAAATCGATCAATCTAACGCCTACCATATGTACTTACCATTATATGGTCCTTCAGGACGAAATGACAATTGTGGTTGCACTGTTTTCGTTTCATCTATAAAGTTTAACGAGGCGCAAAATAGACCGGATAAAGCATTTGTCAATGATTTCCAATTATCATCTAAACTAATTTTATCGATTCATAACAAAAGATAAGTATATTTTGTAATGTGAACCATAAGAAATCACGATGTTCAATAAATCACACGCAATGCGCGTTACTTTTCATTCTTCCATAACCATGCCCAAAGTTCAACTCCAGTACCAGCAGAAGAGGAAAGTGGATATCCCCATTTATCATATTCCCAGCGACCTTGCGTGAAGGTAAGGTGTAGCTCTCGAACACTATACTGTTGCATTATTTGTCCTATTGCACGAGGAAATAAATTGTAATGGTTGACTTTTCATTTTACATGTATATATTAGTTGAATAAAATGAATTATTATAAAGATCTGAATTCGCAATATATAGGATATAGGAAAATTTATCCTTACTCACAACTAGCATTTTCCCTTGCTGCTCCCTCAAGCTGAATACTAAACTGAAAATGTGTCAACAATTTGCCATCCGATAGAGGTTTTATAGTCAAGCTCTCTTTGAATTCATCTAAATTTTTTATTAATGACCCATGACATGAAACGAAATATAGAACTATAAATAAAATTTTTAGTTGCGACATTTTATTTAATCTAAATGGTAAATAAGAAGCTCAAATAATTTCTCTGAAACGCGTGATGTCACCAAATGCCATGATATACAGTAGGCCACATACCGTATTTCGCACCCGGCTATTCATGATCGCGAAATACGGTAAAAAACGCAACACGACGTTAATGCCTCTAACATCGATTAAATGTACCTTGGTTCCTATACTTATTTTAAAGCTAATAACCTAAAAAAGCCTAAAAAATATATATTAATGTTAAGAAATTAAGTGATCTACATGAATATTTTGGAGAATTGGCCTAATAAAAAAAATATGCTTTCTTGATAAGAACTACAGTCAGACCTCTCTAGATACAACTTGCTCTGATCAACTTTTTGACATCAGAATAATAAGTAAAATTGCATTTATGAAGGTTAAGTATATAGTTATGTCAGAGTTTGAGCTTGCATTTAGAGAGATATTACTAATTTTTAAGCCAAATTTGATTAGTTATTAGATCTCAATAAAAATAATTTAACTATTTTTTTATTAGTATTAGTTTGATACTTCAAAATTTAATAATAAATTTGATATTAATTTAATTGAAAATTAATATATAAATAAATCTTATCAAGTATATTTTTAATTAAATTAATTCTTTTTAATATTTGAAATTAAATTCTTATTAATTAAATAATTATATTTATTATATATTTTATATCTTATTAATTAATATTAATAGTATTATAATATAAATTTTTTATATTTTTTATTTATATTTATTATTTTATTAATTATTTTATTCATATTTTTATTAAATAATTATTTAATTCTATTTTATTAAATAATAACTAAAATAATATTATTGATAAATATTTATAAATAATTAGATAAATATTATAATTATAACAAAATTATTATTAATAAATTAATAATATTATTATAATAAAATTAGTATTATAATATTAATTAAAATAATATAAGTATTATAGTTAAAATATATAAAAATAATTTATTTTAATTATAATATAATAATAATATGAAAAGTTAAGTAATTAATCATATAATTAATAAATAAAAAATTAAAAATATAATATAATCTGATACAAAAATATAGATACATTAATATATTTATAATAAAAAATTTTTTTAAATAATTTAATATAAATATTTAAATAACTTTGTTTATTATATAATAATTAGAAAATATTTTATATATATTTTATTCAAATTTTTAATTTTTATAAAAAACTTTATTAATTATCAATTTCTTCTATTTCAAGATTATTATCATCACTTTCAATTAGTAACATATTATTACTTAATTCATTATATTTTATAATCTTATCAAGTGATCTTTTTCAAAAATCAACAATAATCTTAATCATAATCTTTTCTTTAAAAATATATAGTAATTTATTCCTAATAATTAAAAGACTAAAATAAGGATCAAATTTGATAACTTCTTCTTTTATAACTGATTATATTTTTTTGATTAGTTAAAATTTATAGTGATAAGATAAAGTATAAAACAAGTTATAATTATATTTTCTAGCTATCTGTATATATATAAATGATATTTTATATTGTTACCATTTTTGGTACCCCTTGAAAAGATTATTTTGTAATAGATTAATAACTTTATATATAATATTTGCTAGAATAATATATAATAAAGATATTATGAATTACAGATAGAAGAGACTAATATAATCATAAATATAATATAATAAACATTAGATTATAATTATAATAAGATTAAAAGTAGATAACAAGAATATGTTCATGATATGGTCAGCTAAAATGAGATCTGGGATCATAATATAAGAAATGTATTATAATAAATAAGGTATTATTAATAAAGATCATTAATTTTATAATATTATTATGTTTAAATTATTATTTTACCTTATTATTATTTAATTTATTAATTTATTCATTATTTATTAA